GCGCCTCTTTCATCACTGACCCTAAGCCTACAGTTCCATTGTTGATCTCCAGTGAAGGGTTTGCTTGTGCATCAGCTCACCAGCATTTGTAACAGGCACTTTGCGCGCTCTAGCGCCACCTTCTGTCCCGTGGCGAAATTCAGCGAAAATTTTCTGCGCTTCATTCAAAATTCACTGTTTCTCTTTTTTTCCTTTTCTGCAAAGCTTTTACGTGAGAGTGTTGCGTCGTGTTGTAGGAATTTTGTTTAGTCCCGACAGCCACACCACTCCCCCCCCCTACGCTTCGTCCGCTCGCGCTCCACGGCAGTGTTTTGGTGGAAAAACTGGAAAATTCCTTGGAAAACTAGAAAGAAAGTGCTGTGACGTTGGAAAATTCTAGCGCAGATGATAGGTGGGATATAGAAGGGATTCGTACCAGGGAGAAACTTTGAGGTGAGATCGTATTCTGCAGAAGTGTTCCCAAGCAAAATGACGTATCCTGATGGAATGCTGTATTTCACCAGTGTTGGACGGTTATCGCGTTTGGCTGCATATATTTCTTCAAGAATTTCAGTATTTCGCATGAGACTCAACAATGACATCGAAGACTTGCTCCATCTGTGGCTCCACGCAGACGACGATTATGGACGGTTTAATGTACTGTGCGACATGCGGAACCCAGATATTCGTAAGTTAATTTGTAGTGACGGACACTTTGTTCTCCACCAATGCACAGGTGGGGGGAGAGAGAAAGAGGTCAAGGGGCTAACGTATTTGGGGGGGGGGACCACGCGGCGCGCGGCGAGCGATGACTCATCTGCTCTTCCGCTTCTTCCTCGGCGAGATAATGTTCAAAACAGCCCACAGATGGTTCCCGGCATACTTGAAGCGCGAATCTAGCAGCTATTCAGAATAAAACAAACAAGATTCACCGGGAACTTGTTGAGAAATCATACAGAAGCGGAAAACAAATGGACTTCGAGTAACAAGCTGAAGTGAATTGGTTTGGTAAGGTGAAATTGTGATTATATTGCGAGGAAACCGCTCAAGATTCAATTTTTGCGATTTGATAGTGAGTTATTGGACAGATTTCTCCTTGGGATCTGCGGACCATCCAATTTAATTAATAGTGTCACTTTCACGCAAACGAATGGGTTCACCTAAGCCGGAATTCATTCCCTTGTAGTTTAAGCAAGAATCTTTCGGCCTACTAAAGATTCTTTGCACTTTTCCGCAGTAACTGCTTTGCCTTTTGAATATAGCACCTCAGGGCGATATTATATTCATGCCCTAAACATGAAATTACCTCTATTTTGCCGAGTAGGGAGCTGAATGAGCTGTTAATGGCGCTCATTCTATTATCCATATCATTATCGTTCACCTTTTCTCTAACTTTTCTGTGCTGTATTGGTCAAAATTAACCGAAAAGGTTTTTGAGCACACAGCACACCTTCCTATGAAGCGAAACAGATTTAGGCAGAAGATTTACAGGATTTTCGTGAAGTAGAAGCGGACGATGATGGGATTGTCTGTGGTACTGCAAAGGTGAAGGACCAAGAAATCGAGAGAACTTCTTGACAAGTCGAAGGCAAGCACTTCTGGGGCAGATCTGTCCACGTCATCAGGCCGAAAACGACGCAAGGTATATTCTTATTTCTTTTCCTTTTATACGAGCATCTCCACGCCCTAGTGTACAGTCCATATCACAGGCAAAAAGAGGCGTTTCCGCGTACTCGGCGACACCTGCACCTGCTAGTGGTCACTATTCGCTCAAGCACACTTCTCAGCCTTTCTTGCTTCTGGGTTCTCATAGCCTTTGTTGCTGTCGTAGTCACCTACTTGAGAACCTTTTGCCTTCAGTTAATGATTATATTTGAGGAAGGGGTGCGCGCAATGAATTATGCCCTTCCAAGGAGCAGGAAAATCGGGGACAGCAATAATCTTCCCGCGGCCTCGTCAGAGTGCAGGCGAGCAGACATGATCACGGTACCACCTTCCCTCGAATCCAGGCGATGCAGCTTTTTGCATTGATTCTTATCGCCTATTTCAGCGCAATTTTCAGGGTGAAGTACTAGAGGGTTATCGATCTGAAAGATCTTCCACTGCCAAGAGCTCTGAACTAGCGTAAGAATTTTGTTTTATCAACAAAAAGTCCAACTTCAGAAAGGTGTTTTTAACAGGAAAGACTACACAACTGGTAAAACGCATGCACCTGCATATCTACGGACCATTGGTGTGAGAATATCCACGTTCACAAAAATGCTAGCAAAAGGTGCTGCGATGATCAGTGAGGATAAAGCTGTGCCCAGAGGTTTTTCTGTTGGTAGCTTCTTACCCTTTATTGAGCTGCACAATGTATTTAGCTCTCATCTGTTCAGGAGTATTTGTTGCAGGACCATGTTTTTGCCACCTACCAGCGATACTTATCGGCCTGCAATGTTGCATTTACTTCTAACGATTATACAGAAGAGTCGGAGCATATGTTCCGTGCCGTGGTTCTCAGTACTAATCTGTAAGCGGCGTCAAAAATTGAGTTCTTGATGAGGATCGTGGTTACTGCGGCGAGTTTCAGAGCACTAACACGAGCTCGAGAGAAAAAAGAAACCAAAGTGCGGAGGAAGAAGCGGGGAAAAGATGCTTTGGAAAAGTCAACAACTGCTTGGGAATTGCTTATGAGTAATACAATAAACGAGGATTTGGAAATGCATTCAGATGAAGAAGAACCCATCGTGAGCAAAACCCACCAATTAACGATTTTTTTTCTCATTTTTACTTGTTTTGCTTATAATGACTGCTGTTTGTTTCCTACTATCGATTCGGAGGTAGGTTGATGGCTCTTGCCGTTTGATAAGTGTATATGAGAAGCCCGATATTCAGAACGACCTATGAAATTCCGAACCATTTGCGAAATCTGACTAGGAATAGTTCGGTTTTGCTCACCAACTTAGTCTTTCACTTCTCTCTCTTTTCTCTCTCTCTCTCTCTCTCCTCACTTGTTTTGATGAGGAATGAAAGCTAAGGCTCACGGTAAGAAAGCTCCGAGAGTGTTCTCGTAAATTGAAATTCAGGACAACGCCGCTGAGCCGACTCCATCTTCAACCACCACTACACAGCAGTCCAAATTGGTAAACGTCGTGGAAACGAATATCCCTGAGGAAACCTTGAAAAATGTGAGTCTCATGTCAGTCCTTTAATCGTCATTACGTTGAAATTTTGATGGTGTCGTTATAGCTTTATAGCACTGTGCTTGTTGAAGGCTCATGATTCTGAATACCGTATATAGTGGATAGCAAAGAGTATTGTGACCTGAATGATCTTGACTCACATGGTTCACTCGTTTAAGGCGTCATCGCTGTTTCTCTCAATGGATGTCCTCGCAGCTATACTATACATATCCACCGTGACAATAGGATGTAGGTGGATAATGCTTTCGGATATTGTGAGGTGATGTTCAGTGGTTGTTGAATGGCAAACTGTACAGTCACTCCTGTGGATCCTGATACTTGTCATGTGCAGGGTGGATGGGTCCGCAGATGCAGAGCGGGCCCCATTTTTCGTTGAGAATGCATAGGAAGTGGCTGAAGGGCAGTGATGCCCGGGCGCAGCCCCTTTACTCCTCCCCTCTGCGAGACGGCCAGCAACACCATAGCAGGGCGTGCTACTTGTCTGCGCCCTCTCAGTTCTGCTTGTGTCTAACACTGCTTCAGTGTTCACTGCGGTCCATTAGAATCAACGTTAATGCTGCACCTTGAGAATAACCGAGACGGCACGTCTGTATCTTTAACCTTCAGTCCCGTTCCTGTGCCATTCTGAGCGGAGAAAATGGCACGCTACCGTAGCTGCAACCCACTTAGCCCCACATGGAAAGGACTCTCCTGTGAGATAAGTGCACAGTTTGTCTCTGGGTTATCATTCTTTCATGTGGTTGGATCTCATTCTCCCAACTTTTTAGATGGTTACGAGAAGGCAGACTAGGTATTTCTCTATTCCAACTAGCAGCTTTGCATGCTGGACGTTCTGATGACCCAAGATTAAGAGGCCAGAATTGGTGGACAAGGCTTGTAAGTTCGACAGTCTCTTCAGA